ATTTGTTAGTGTCAATTTTGTTCATGAGTTGAGTTTTATTGTGGGGAATGTTGGAGTACTTTTCAACTATAGCTGGTGGGAATTTATTGGTGTGAATAAAGGAATGCTTTAAGTGATTAATTTCGTCATTTATGTAGTCCGTTGAACAGAGTCTTGTGGCTGTGTTTATGAAGTTTTTTAAGTGTATTGATTTTTTGTGTGGTGTCATGAGCGGAATTCCAGGGGATGTAGAGGCCGGTCTGTGTGTTCTTACGGTGAATTTTGGTTTTAAACTGTGTGTCCGATCTAATAATGTTGAGGTTAAGAAAAGATAACTGTTTATTGTTTTCGAGTTCTATGGTAAATTTGATGTTGGGATGAATGGAGTTTATGTGTTCATAGAAATTCGAAAAAGATTAACTAAAGAGAAAGAGAGAGAATAATTTTTAGAAAAACAGAAATATTATATATCATTTTCTTGTTGCTTACACTTCGTATGTGAACTGTGGTAGAAGATGTAATACAGAATATTCTTACTAAACTCTAACATTTTAACTTTTGCCTGATTTCTGATTGTCTGATTTCATCTTTAGGAAAATGTTGTTATTTGCTTAACTCGACCTCATATTACTAAAGTGTACAGTATTACTCAATATGGTATAGTAAAAGAAGAAGATAAAAAAGGAACTATAAAACAGGTTTCGTAATTTTTATATTAGGTAAATTAAACACCTACAGAATTGTTAGTTACAAACAATATCACCCTATCAAGTACAAAACACCTTATAATTACAAGAAGACGAGAATATGTATAGAAATCTTAGTAAATTAAACATTCCATTGTCGATATTTCATTAAAAAGTTTAAAACACGATTTCCTACCATGTACCATAATCAGATATGTTATAACTACTAAAAACACACATACATGTGTACGTATAGAAGAATTGAGGAATATAATGCAAGAATCTTGGTGAATCCCATTCTATAAATGGACCAGTTTGCATAGAGAACATGCAAATTACATTAAGCTTTATTCCCAGGTAATTAAGATATGTATGCAAATATAAGGACTAGTCATCCTTACTATACTTCAATTCAGACGTCAGTTAATTTTTCTAGAAGAGATCTCGCATAGTTCAACAAAGAGATGGTACTAGAGGCCCGCCTGGTAGGTACATTTGTAACCCAGAATTTGTATGTATATATTACCGAGGTGTCAGTAACAACAGTCTTTAAGATAATACTAGCAAGGATTGCCATTGGTGGCAGGAAGAACATCACAAAAGTGATCAGAATCATCTTACGTTGAGCCGTATTGAAAGAAGAAATTATGAGAGGTATTCCTAAAATAAAATGTTGATGTTGTTTTTCTGGACACTGTTACGATTGAAGTATGTTGATATATTCCAGATAAATCCTTCAAAAACATCATGCTGCTTCATTATCACATATGGTAGTCCAACACCATTTTGAATCTTTGTTGGACGGATGTTTCGTCCAACTTCTGTGTGAAGGAGTGATAAGCTGATAATCTGGCGAGTCAAAAAAATGTAGAAATGCCTATTAGTATAAGCACTTTCAGAAGATTAGTGTTTGTGTTGTTGTTTATTCTAAAGCTTTTCGTAGTAGTTTTCTACCCCAGTACTTCAATCAAATGATGGAATATTTAATAGAAACTTTTCGTGTATATGTTAAGTTTACTTTTAAAGAATTTTTGAGCGCTTTCATTAGTCAATGATGAAGCTTAGATATTTTTAGCTAATATTCGTTCTATGATATATTTACATTTACTTTTAAATCAAATAATTACCAATATACTGTCCTTTGGGCTCCAAAGGCTTCGCAAGTGCTAAGTGTCCTGTAGAAGGGTTGAACTTGAATAGATCTTTCCTTTGGTGTTGAGAGCCATCTTTTTCTTGTAGAAATACACTTGTGATTTGATAGTTTACTGCACGTCCACCAGAAGGGCTGATGTTGTCCGTAGGTATACCAAACAGCTTGTAGAATGACACACCAGGCGGATAGAAGATTGGTATAATGATGTTTACGTTTCTTTGTGAAAACAAAAGACAGGACCCTAAAAGTAAAGAAGAAAATACATAATATGGTGTTTCGTTTATTCATTTCTAAGTTAGGTTTTTCAAGGGTAAAGATGGTGAGCGAGATTTCATTGTAAATAATCTGATATTCAGCAACATTCATAAACTAGATGGGCATACAGTAGAGCCCGTAGGTCCACGCATCATTAATCACATTAATCACCCTAAAAAACAACAACAAAAACAGATAATATGTTCGTCGTTATCAATGGACACAGACCATTTTTGGCAGGACAATGAGAAATAATATTCTACATGTGTCTACCAAGTTTCATCAAAATCTGGTAATTTTTAACTGAGTCATAGGGAAAACATAGTGTGAAAAATCGGTCCCCATGTTAACAGATAGAGAATTTCTTTTCATGGCCTTGTTGTAGCCGTGACCTTGAATCTTGACCCTCCAAAAACTAAATAATTCGAAGTTGGATCATTGTCAAAATTTATACCAACTTTCGTCTAAATCCATTCAGCGGTTTTTGAGAAAGCTTGCTGACAAACACATACACAAACAAACACACGCACAGAGGTGAAAACTTTAGGTAATCAGTTCGAATGCGACACCATACTCGGTAATCGTTGTAGAAGAGGATACCCAACTGATGAAACAGTGCTATCTGTTCTTTATAAGTAAGAACGCAAGAAAATTATACTTAATTAGATTTACTCATTAACAGGTTAATTTTAATTTCGCTCTAAGCGGGTAGCGTACTCTAAGAATATAAAGAACAGTGCAAAAGACATTGAAAAGTATTACTGTCACATTCAAGCATGCTGTACTGCTATGCATAACAAATGGTTTTCGTAAGTTAATAAAAGAAATGAGAGAAAATTAGAGACAGTATTATGCATCGTAATAATACGAGCACTTTCTGAAAATTAAAGGGTTTTTGTATTTTGATGCTAACCTTTTCCTTTGGTCTTGCGTGTTTTGACGTATCATGTAAGACTTAATTCTTAATTCAACTTTTATATCTGTTTTAAAATACCCTTTGCCTTCTAAAAGCTTTAAAGCAATAAACGTTTGCTACTCTCTTTAAAACACTTTCACACATCATTTGCAGTATATCCCTCATCTGAACGTTAACTTTGCATTCAAAGATAATTTGTACGGTATATTGTATGAAACTAACTGAACTATATAGTGACAAAATATCATTTGGAACACTTTCATTCAAAACTATATGATGTGTAAACTGACCCCCCTCTAATTCTGAAAAAGAATCATTGGGCTACTTTATGTAAAACATACTACCATCCATTCATGTTATGTAATATTTGGGTGACGGTTTTGTGTAATGTCCGTTGGTTTATTTACATATAGTGTTATTTAAGGGATAACAAATCTTCATATTACTTAGCAGGCCAGAGTTCTTGTTATCGGATTTTGGCTAGTAGCCAAGTTAAACATCGTGTCGTAGCCTTATAACACAGAAATAATTTGTACTGACGAATTACTTCACTAAATTAGTGAATTGAATTTATTTAATTTAAAGTAATTAAAATTTGTTAACCTAATGACTTTGCTTCAATGAACGAGTTTGTTTAGTTGGATATTTTTGAATTATTAGTTTTTCGAAGTTTCGGATTATCAATCATTTTAAATACATAATTAAACTTAACTTTAATTTGTACAAAGATCAAACAACAACAAAATTTAATTGACCATAGGTTGTTTACTATTATTTTGATTTTAGACACATATGACAAAGGAAAAAAAAAAAAGCTAAAAGGGTGAAACCAAGTGTAAAACACTAAAATTCGAATGTATTTTGGACAAAGCTAGGTATTAAAGGATACGTTATGTTATTATATATTTAGGCATAGGTCATAGTTAAAATCATAAATAGATATAGACTTTCGGTCTTTTCTCACGCTAAAATATTGTCTTCAAAGTTAGCACAATTCATACCGCTCGTCCCATTGTTTTAAGGTTATTTTATTGTTGTTAATTCGAACATTCACACGCGGTTGGACGAATGCTCCAGGAAAAGGAGTTGAAAGGTCGTCCAAAACTATAGATTTCAAGGTGAGAAAATACCAAAGGTTTCCTAATGTATATCGAGGTTCTTATAAGTGGTCTATCGATTTTTGCGACTCTACGTGCTTTCAACTATAACAACCAAAATGTTTAAATTAGAATCGG